TACAAATACCAAAAGATATAATGGTACTCGTGAACCGAATATAACTCAAGTTCGAAACCACTTAACAAATACATGACCATAACACGCAGTGTGTGATATAAAATCCAGGTACCAAAGCAGGCCAAATGAGGCCTCGGCGTATCACTTTTTAAAGATAGAGTGTGTAAATAGCCATCAACTCTCTCTGCCTAAAACATGCATTTTTCAGCCTTAAATTTTTTATGTTAAAACGTATGGTTTAATAAAAATGAGTTAACACTTTCTCTAATATTCTAGAAAACTTTAAATAGAATTAAAAAATAAATACATGTAATAGATAAATGTGTTTTTTTTTTAATGTAGAAAGTAAAATTCTACGAAGAATTCTTACTTCATCTTGTAATGTCGCAAAATCTTCTAATAAATGCGCCAATTTATCTCTTTGTCTTGCCCTATTATGTCCACTAAGCTGCAACAGGTTCCCAAATAAGCTAACACAATGTGATAGAAAGCTATCGACGTATTCCTTAGCTTGGTGATTCTGAAGCAATGTACTTTTTGATAGCAACACGGGTGGCGCAATAAAATTTCGTGCCGCATCTCTCAATACGTCGGCAAAATTGTGTACACCGAATACGCGATTAGTAGTAGGCAAGTAAACAATTTGTAACATAGATCTGGACAATATGCACGGACTATGACGCGAAAATTCTAAAAAAAAGTCCTAAAAAGAAATTTGTTTATTTTTATATATAATCCACTAATAAAGAAATGTTAATGCATCACTAATTACCAAGGCCGCGTGAAATCCAATATGATTTGTGATTTTAGTAACCATTTTGAATCTATTTATCAATTCGACTAAATATTCTAAAGCATCTATTCTTGGCTTAATTTTGGTGTATCGAGGGAACGTCGGTGGCAGCAGTCTTTGGTTTACCATCGGATCAAATCCCATGATATTTGGATGATTAGCTATAAAATCATAAATAATTAATATAATATATAATCATAATAATTTCTTACATAAATAACATTGCTTTTTATATAAGAAAACATTACGTAAATATTCATTCTTTTATAAAGAAAATAAATAACTAATTCCAAATTTAAAAAAAAATTTATATAATGAAGAATATGTTTATGTAATAATATGTCTATGTATACTTACAAATTTCATCAGCCTTTTCTCCGCGAACTACTGTTGAAATCATAATATTAAGCATATCAGAACAATTCGATAACAATCTCTGGCAATCATTTAAATTCTGTTGCAATTGCTGCTTCCGGCCCATCAATGTTAACACTTGATAGAACATTTTCGTAAATCGGATCCTCGCATAAAGTGCTATTCCATCGTTATACTATGAATCAATATTAGTAACAAATGATTAAAAATATAATAAATTAATATTATATATAGAATAGGCACAAAAATATTAAAATTATAGAATAAGATATAATTTTAAGATCTAAATTATGATCTAAACAACAGAAAAAAGAAAATCTGCAAAGAGATTTACCTCTTTCTCAGATTCAACATCGACGAGTTTTATTCGACTTTTTCGATGAAGTTCTTCTTCAACTTCCCGCAACATCGATATTGTTTTTTGTTCCGTAATATCTTGCTGTAATCTATAGCCATATGTAACGCTCTGAAAATCCTCCTCTTCAAATACCAAAGCTTTATTGATGCAATCCTTGATTATATCTATTATCTTATACACTGCATAACAGAAGGTCTTTAAAGGTTTATCTAGTATTTGCTCAGGCTGATGCAAATACAAGTTCGTGAAAACGGTTTGTGCAAGACTGTGACCTTCCAACCAAGATACTATACACGCGTATGTAGAATCTATTATTCCTATAATTTCGGCAGATGTAAAGCTGTCCAATTTGATTGCGCCTGAATCGACCGCCTGGGTAAAAGTGCAAGGCTTGTTGTTCCCTCGATTGCACAACATACCAGCATCCATTTTTGGATCCATCATCTCAATAGCAGACATGGCTTCAAATAATCCAAACAACTCATCATGTAACAGTTCTCCCAGTTCCAACTCTAAATGCAGAATGCAGAAAAATATATTGGCCTTCAAACCAAAAATGTAAAACATTATTATTATTATTTGTAGAAATTAAAAAAGGTTCATAATAATTAAATCTTAAAAATCACTTATATAATAATTAAAGCACTGCGATAGTGGACTAACCCACATTTTATAAAAACAGAGAATAAATATATTTTTATATGATTTTAACTTTAGAAATTAATTGATTTTAACTTTCTCCATTTTTATAAAATGTAGATTAGTCTATATTTTACTTACTTACAGTAAGAGCCCTTGAATTATTTTTTACAGTATATATTCTATAATCTAATGATACACAAATTTTTCTTTTGCTCCCAATCTCTCTTCTTCGATAGAAATTTGACACAGATCATTAATTTTTTCATGATTCATGTAAAGAATAATATAAGAATAATATTATATAAGGATAATTAATTTCAAAAATTAATTATTATAATTTATAAGTGTACGTATATATTTTATAATTTTTTCTATTTTAATACATGTAGTTTTTATACATAATTATTCATTAATGCAAATTAAAAGTAAAAAGGTTTCGCAATCTCCAATAGCTTTTATGTAATCTTTCAAGGAGCACACCCTAATATAATAATTTATGCTACTGATTTAATATTGTATAATATTTAACATACACATTACTATTACACTACACAGTACATATATTGCTACAGTATATGTAATATATATACCATTACACATTATAACTTATACACATATTTATTATACATTTTACATGTAATATGTTTTGTACTTTTTGCTTATATTAATTATATATATTTATGTCAATATATCAAATAGATTCCAATAAATTTAAGGAATGTAAACAGAATAGAAAGAAATAAATAAAAGAAAATCTAATTCTTTTACATTTATAATAACTTATATGTTTAGATTTACTTTCTAAATTTCATTAAAATAAAAAAATAGATATAAATCACATGAATGTTTAATATGGCAAAGTAACATAATTTAGATTGATGAAAACTACATTAATAAAGGTCATAATAATCAAAAATATAATTCACAAAGAATTTACTGACT